CCAAGGCAACTGCTGATGTCAGAATTTCATCGCGTCTCTGCCTCGGAAGAGGAACAGGGCTTGAGGACTGACATGCTGAGTAGAGGGGCTTGGAGGCCCCCGGGAAGGTCAGAGGCCCCCAGAGGGCAGGCCTTTTGGCATATGTCCTAGCCTAGGATGGAGGGGGGGATACAGTCCCCCTCATCCTCCCCCCCACCAGACTCCAAAGTCAGGCCTGCCAGTGTGGACATGCTCATCCCTGACTGGAAGAGAAACCAAGGAGGGCTCTGACAGGCCTGTCAGGACCAGGGGGCACTCTTACTGAAGGACAGGCCCACCAGAATGAGTGCCAGATAAAGGGCTAGACCCTCTATGTGGAGGGAAGGCATAATGGAGGGGGGGGCCTCTCCGAAGTCCCTAAGTCCCGACCCAGGCTCCACCCTCAGGACAGGAAGACCTGCCCTGTGGCCTATATCTCTACCTGAGGTATTCAAGGCCACCTAGGCCTGGTTGTACTGGAAAGAGAGTTAAGGTGAGCCAGGCCTTCTCCTCCAAGAGGGGTCCAACTGACTTCTGCCAGACTCTCACGATGGCTTTATCAGTGCTCAGGAAGCCTGGGTGATTCACTGGTGGGCCCAGCACCCTTCAATCTGGGAGGCCTTCTGGGGGCTCTCCCAGGGGACTCTCCCAAAGGGTGGTGGGCAGCAGGATTCCTGGACTTTCCCTGGGGGTATATGGGTACCCTATAAAGAGGGTATCTGGGTGGCAAGAGTTGAGGGGAGCAAGGGGGGGTTCCCTGTAGGGGCCTAAGGGCCCCTTGTTCAGACAGCCCCTTGGGAGGCTACCCAAAGAAGGGACCCTGGAGATGTAACCCACCCCTATGACCTGTCCCACCACTCTGCCATACAGATCATCAGGGGTTTGGTGTGCGAGAGGCTCAAAGGTGAGTTCCCCGCACCCAACTGCTGTAAGCTTTCCCTGCTTGCGCCCCAGCCCTCACCAAAGGCGCTCCTGGGGTTAGAAACTTCCCATCGAGAGAGGAGAGGACCCTCCTCCGGACAAGATTTAGGCATACCTCTCCGAGGACCTCCTAACCCATGCCCGCGCACCCATTTTGCAGAAGGGAAAGCAGAGATCCGGGGAGCCGCGGCTGGACGCCCGGACGCCCAGGCTCCCTTCCGCAGCAGCCCAGTTGGGCGTCGGAAGTTACGCGGTCCTTTTCCCAGAATGACGCCAGATTTTTTCGAGCGGCACCCCAAACCCGGAGAAGCGCCCACAGGTAGGGCGTGGGGCCGGGCCGCCAGCTGTAATGACAGGGCCCACGCCTGTGGGTGGCGGCGGCGGAGGAAGCGGGAGGAATCCGACTATTTCTGGCCTGGGCGCGCCTACTAGCCCCGGCCAGGGTTGGCCCAGCTGCAGGCCCCCCCCTCCGCCCTCCCCGATCCCCAAGAGGGGGCGGGGATAGGCGCGGGTTGGCGGGGCCGGGGGGGCGGGGCGGTGTCCCGGGGCCCACCTCCGGTCTCCGCCCACCGGAGTCCTTTCGGGTCCCTTCACCGCACTCGGCTCGGACCCGAGGCCGCCGGCGCAGTCGCCGCGCGCGTGTGTCCCGCGGCGCCCCCTCCCGCTGCGCCGCCCGTCGGGCATGGACTCGGGCCGGGACTTCCTGACCCTGCATGGTGAGTTCCTGGCTGGCGTGCGGGCAGACCCTGCACCGGCCGACCCCGCGCGAAGCCGTTCCCGGGCCCTGGGCCGGGGACCCCCAGGTTCCTTCGGCCGCCCTCCGCCCCGCCCCGGGCCCGCCTCTCGACTCTTTTGTTGCATTGGGGAAATCTCGGCGCGGGGGACTCTCGGGGTGGGACTGCCAGGCAAGACCTTGGGCTTGTCCCCCAGATCTGGCCGGAGGTGGGGGGAGGGTGCGGGTCTGAAGACTTCCCTGAAGGCGAACCCCGACCCCCAGACCCCGCCTCAAGGATTCTGCCTTTTTCTGGTCTCAGAAGGCTGGGCTCCGTGGTCCAGCGCGCACGGAATGGCCGAGGAGGGACGGAACCAGCATCCACGAATAACCAGCTTCTCCCCACACCGTCCGGGCCCCGCTGGAGAGGCTCCCCAAAGCCCAGGCTGCCTGGACCGCGTCAGGCCGCGTGGCTGTGACGGGGGGGGGGTGGAGACGAGGAGGTGTGCAAGGTTGGCCGAGGTCGGGCTGGGCGGCGGTAACTGCTCAGCGCAGAAATCCCTGTCAGCGATGCCCACGCTGGTAGGAGCGGCCGGATCCTCCCATCCGCGCACCCTCCTGGCGGGACCAGGCCGAGTCTCACCTGGAACTGCCTGCAGCTCCACCCTTTGTCCAGCTAGTTCTGTCCCTCTGACCCACCGGGGAACAGTCCTTGCCGTATTGCTGTCCCTCCAGGACAAAGAGCAGCAGTAGCTTCTGGCAGGTCGGCCCCCCCGCTTGGTCTGGCATCTCTCCGCTCCAGCCTGGGGACTCACTCACTCTTAAGGGTGTCTTGCCCTCCTGGTTTCTGAGATCATCTGCCAGTTCAGCAAAACCTGCCCCTTACGCCAATCACTGCTTAACCGTATCTCCCTGTTTTCTAGTATCCCTGGGGTGGGAGACTTCAGTGCCCACCACCTGTCCATCTAAACCATACATGAAGATGATAGATGGGAAAGAGAAAGGCAGAGCCCTCCAGCTGCCCACTAGAGACCCCCTGGAATTCAGGGGCATAGGAGATGTTCCTTTCAGCCAGCCGCTAGTCTGTCTTGTGTTTCCTGGTTGGCCTAGACCTGGTCTCCATGGCCCGAAGAGACCTTGCTCAGGGCCCAGAGCTGTGACCCTCCCACCACTGGCCTGGGCTCCTCAAGGCAACCTCATCCAGCTGGATCATGGGACCCCTGCCCCTTCCAGTGCTTCATCTTCTCAGACCAAAGGTGTCCTTAGTGCTCCTGCAAGACTGGCAGGAAGGGAGTCTGGATGGCTTAGAGGACCACAGTGGAGACCTCTGCTTTCTCTCTCATCATCCCTTAGTTAGTGCTGTCTACCCTGCAGAGTGATACCTCTTCTGGGCCTGTCTCACACTCAGATCTCCTAAAAGCTCTCCGGTCGTCTCTGGCACAGCTCATGTTGGAATGGGCTCCATCCTCAGGCATCTGTGCCTTCAGCCAGTCTTTCTCCCCCGGTGTCTTCCCTGGAAAGGAAGCTACGGGGAGGCACTGTGGCATGGGTTTGGCCCATTCTGTTTGAGACCTGCCTTCCAAATGCCGCACTCTGTCCAGCCCTTCCTGCGGGACTGGCGGGAACACTGCAACCCCAAGCTCTTTCCCGGAAGGCCCTGCCACTTCAAGCTCATCACCCAGAATTACCCTCCCTTAATTGCCTTGGTCCCTCCTGCAAACCAGATCAGAAAGCAAGAACCTGGCAAGGGCAGTTGATGGCAGGAAGGGGTGGTCACTGTGCCCTGTGCTTCCATTGGAGAGTCCGTACCCCTTTCAGATTTGGGGCCCCACAGCACCGAACATGTGGCTTGGGCAGTTGGCAGTCAGCTGCAGAAAGTCCCCCCCTCCCCACGGCCTGGGGGGCCACGGAGCCTCCCTAGATATGAGATGTCCCCTACGTCCTCACCCCAGATGTGTGCAGATGCAGTGTAGGCTACAGGCATGGGTTCTGGAGGCAGACTGAGTTCAGGCCTTGACTTTTTCATCCCAGACAAATCCCTTGATTTCTTGGTGCCTCAGTTTCCTCAGTGAAATAGGGGACAAGAACACTACCGACTTCATAGGCTTGCTGTGAGGACTGAATGAGGTCATACATAGAAGGCAATGGGAACAGTGCCTGGCACTCGGTAGGGGCTGTGTTTCTGCAGGAGGCCCACACCCAAGTGACCATGCCCTGTGCATTCTTGGGAGATGAGGGGGGCACCATAAGGGAGTCTGTTGCTAGGAAAAATGTGCCCAGAACAGGGCTCAAGAACCAAGGGCCTCCTTCTGGTGTCTCTGGAGCCCTCAGACTGATGTTCCATTCCCCTGGCCTCCTCCCCCTCCTCCACTGCCTCTGCTGTCTCCATTCTAGCCAGGCCTGCACTGGCCTCACCAGCACGTCTCCAGATGTACCCAGAAGGACACTACTTCGCAGGCCCTCCCCTCGCTGAACACGTCCACCTTCACTAACTTTACCTACCTCAAATCCACCTGCCCCACTGTCAAAACTGGCATTTGTAAAAGTGGAAGGCAGGCCATAGGAGGGGCCTCATCTTGGCCCCAGGAGACCTGGACTGCAGTCCTCATTTTGCCTGTATTTATCAATGTTGTGACCCTGAGCACGTCCCTTTGCCTCTTTGGGCCCTTTTTTCCCCCCACCCATGGCATAGTAACACCCTATTTACAGGGGACATCGTGAAGACAAAGCATGGATGGGCATAGGAGCTCAAGGTTGGCAAGAGAGCCAGTACCCCCAAAAGATAATGGTTCCAGAGCCATCATAGCAAGTTGGGGTGGCCAGCCTCCTACTCACCTCAGTTATGTTTCAAAACTGTCCCCGGGGTTCCAGACCCATAACCCACAGACACACACTGATCCACACTGATCTTAACATTTCGCGCCATAGGCCACTTTGGCAGTCAGATGAAGCCTGTGGACCCCTCCTCAGGGTCATGTTTTTATTTTTATTTTTATTATTTTTAGATTTTATTTATTTTTATTTTGAGAGAGAGAGAGAGCGCGCGCGCCCACACACAAGCAGGGGAGGGGCAGAGGGAGCGGGAGAAACAGGCTTCCTGCTGAGCAGGGAGCCAGATGATGTAGGGCTCGATCCCAGGACCCTGAGATCAAGACCTGAGCCGAAGGCAGACACTTAACTGACTGAGCCACCCAGGCGTCCCAGGGTCATGTTTTTAAATGCATAAAATAAAATACATGAGAATTCAAAGGAAGCAAATTATATTGAGATGTGATTCTATCCGTAGGTCCTTGGCGTGGGGTGGGGCGGGGCGGGGCGGGGCGGGGCTCTTGGTCCTCTGGATGAGAAGCTTTGTGTGGTTTCTCTGAAACAGGTTCACCTTACCCTCTGCCTCCTCCCTCTCCAAATGAAGAACAACTTGTTTGGGCCCGTATTTCAGCTCATCTACACCAACACACGTTCTTTTGATGTATTCTCTGTGGCGCGACCGTAGGCAAGTCACTCTGCGCTTCAGTTTATTGTTAGTGTTGCTTTGCTTGGCCGTGCTAATGGTTGGCTTTGACGGTGACTCACTGCCAGTGCTGGGGACTGGAGCGGCAGTGAAGCGAATGGAGGAACTAGTCAGAGGCAGAGAGTAAAAGAGAGGGGTGAGTCAGGCCTCTGGGTGGTGTCCTGACCTTGGCACACAGTAGGGGCTGGGGGCATGAAAGAGAAGTTGTAACTTACATGAAAGGTCCCACTGTTCCCGAGCACACTGGCAGCACAGTTTTGTATAAAGTTGCAGTAGTTCTCATCTATTCATCAAAGCAAGCCTGCGTTAATGGATTCATTTTTAAGATCAGCCTTTTTTTTTTTTTTCAAGAATTCCATTCGTATTTGGAACCTTAGAGATTACCCTACTCGGGTGGAGAAACTGTGAGAAGGAAACAGGTCTGCCTGTGAGGCAACAGCCAGCTGAATTACAATAACTTCGTTGAGTAATTGAAGTAAAATATTTGGCGGGCTTGGTGGTCTGCCCCAGGCTCCATTCCCGGCTCCGTCTGACCCCGCCCCATCCCGTCCTCTCAGACTTGGCCACCCAGGCCGCGGCTACCCGATCTCCCCTGTTCTCCTCAATCTCGCTCAAACTTCGTCCTCCGCCCGGCCCCCAGTAGGTGTTTCGAATTCGCGACTCGGGCTCCGCCCCCGGTGGACACCGCCCCCTGGTGGGACACCACCTCCAAAGCCGAGGTTCCGCCCCTCCCTGCCCGAACCCCGCGTTTTCAGTGCGGGGCCCTCCCTCGGGTCGCTCTCTGGGCCCTAGCTCCGCCCCCGGCCGGCTTCCTAAGTGACGCTCTGCCTCCCCGTCGCCTCCCAGACCCTGCTCCTTTCCCCCGCCTCCCACCCCAACCTCTGGGGCTGTGCCTCCGCCCCCTACCGCCTTTCTGGGCTCTGGCTTTCGCCACTGATTTGCTTCCTGGGTTATAGATTTGTCCCACTCCGCCTCTTCGGTTCTGGCTCCTCCTCTCCCCGCCTGGAGTCCGCCCTTGCCGCAGCCCCCAAGGGCAAAGGTCCTGCCCCTCCGGGACTGGCCACGTCTCCTAGGGTCTGTCTCCGCCCCTTTCAGCCCTGATTTCTCTCACGCCCCGCCTCTAGGGCCGAGGCTCCGCCCCTCCAGGCTGGCCCCTCCTTCTGGGTTCTGACTCCGCCCCCCGCCCGGACTCCGCCCCCATTGCCAGGGCCTTCTAGAGGCTGCGCTGTCCCGGGCCAGGCTCGGTGGCGCGGAGGCACTGAGGAGCGTCATGCAATGCCTGGGAATCCCGAGCCGGAGCCGCTCCAGGGAGCTCTACCTGCAGGAGCAGAGCCTCAGGGTGGCGGCGCTCAATGGGCAGAGGCTGGGTAAGGAACGCAGGGGGCACCGAGCTCCGCTGGAAAGGCAGGTGGGGCAGGATGTAGACTGTGTGCCTTCCATCCTTTGAGTGGACCTGTTTAGTACTCCTGTGAGTGCGAGACCCACTGTGGAGCTGTGTTTGCAGGGGTGGCATGTGGAGTGTTTTCGGGGCCAGGGGTGCGTGGGTGGGTGGGATAGGTCACTTCTCCTGATCTACCTGAGCCCCTCCAAAGCCCCCCACCCCTTACCACCCCTAACCACCCCAACCCCTCCTGTTTACAAATTTCTGAGGCACTACTAGTTATGTGGCTCAGTGTGTAACTGGTACGACTGTGTAACGAGATGGTTTTCCGAGCCTATGTGATCCAGTGTGATGGTGTGCAAGTGTGCGTGACAAGTGTGACAGTGGGGGACCCAGTGTGTAATCTGGTGGTGGCTCTGTCCCTCACGTGGTACGTGGGGCCACTGCGCGGCAATGAGGATGTGTAATGCGGTATAACCAAGTGTGTGACATTGTGGCACCAGCGTGGCCGCGTGTGGTCCAGGGTGATGCTGTGTCCTGGTGACTGTGGGAGGCAGACCGACAGTGGGCGAGCCGGGGGACCGATTCTGTCATTCCGTGTTACAGTATGTGTTCTGTGGGTTTTCTGACATTGCTCAGTGCGCCTGAGCGGTGACGTGCATAAGGTAATGTTTCCTAGCACTCACCCTTGGGCAGGCTTCGGAGTCCTGACTCTGCCATGTAACTTCCTTGAACCTCAATTTCCTCATCTGTAAAATGGGAATAATGATAGTGCCTTCCTCATAGGGTTGTTGGGGGGATTAAGTACATGTGCTAAGAGCAGTATCTTATTCAGATATTGGCCATGAATGTTATGGTAGCTGCTCTGATTACCATTGTGAGGATGATGTTCTGGCACGGTGTGTTGAGTGCGGCCGTGTGTAACTGTGTAGCTTTGTATGGCTGTGGGGCCCCCCCTCAGCCTCCTGTTAGCACCTGCACACCCTGTGCCCTCCTCCACATGGCCACCTCACTGTGTGCGGCCAGCCTGAGTGGGTTGGTGAGGCTGCCAGGTCAGCCCAGGGGCCCCTGAGGTAGAGGCCCCTTAGCACCCCCCTCCCACAGGAGGAGAAGGTACTGAAGCTGAGTGAGTGGGGCTGAGCGAGGAGTGCCCATCAACATTCTGGGTGCTGAGGGAGCACGGGTGGCAGGGCGGGCAGCCCAGGGGCCTCAGAAATAAAAGGGCCGGCTGCAGATGAGACTCAGAGGTGGGGGTGCCTACCCAGGTTCCCTAATGGCCCAGAAGGTGGTGGCTATTATCAAGGCCCACCTCGGGGCTGAGGTCCGTGTTCCGGAAGCCATGTCAGCAGCCAGGGGTCTTATCTCTGCCTGACCGCAGACAAGGCCACAGCCTGGCTCCAGGACAGGATGAACATGTCATCTCCCCATGGTGTTTTCCAGAACCGGAGGGTGGGGCTCACCTTCTACTTTCCAACCCCTCCCCCGTTACCATCTCTGTTGTTGGCAATGGCTTGTCCTAATGAGTGCCCAGCTTGGGGGGCAGGGGGCAGGCATAGGGTAAGGAGATGCCCCTGCCGATTACACCTCAGCTCAGAAAGGACAATGGAATACCCCAGCAGAGGCTGAGGACCTCTCTTCTGGCATCTGGGAACTCCCGTCCTCTGGTTCCAAGTGCCACACACACAGCCAACAGTTTAGGACATCTTGCAGGAGCCCCCTTCTCCACTGAACCTCCCCTGGGGCTGAAGGGATGCTGCTCATACTAAGACAGAGGGGTCTCCCAGAAGTGCGGGGAGACTTGGGACAAAGGAAGAAGAAGGCACATCAGACCATCACCTCTGAAGAGGCTCACAGACACCTCTTCCGATGCTGTTCTCACCCAGTGCTGATGGGGGAACGGAGCCACGGGGGAGGGGAGCTGCCTAAAGTCATGGGTGGTTGTTAGCACTGGGCTCTGTCCCTAGTGAAGACAGGAGATTGGGGAGGGATAGAGAGCATATGGGTGGCTGAGGCCTGGGGAAGCGGTTCAGAAGTTTCCCTAGGTCTTATGGGTGTGTGGGGCAGGCTGGTGGGGCGGGGGGCATGGATAAAGCTGGAGAGCCTATCAGGGGCTGTGGATCTGGGCTTGGAAAAGAAAAGCTTATAGGCCTGGTCACAGGCCATTCAGACTGGACCGACACGGTCCCTGATGCCACCGCTCTGCTGGAGCAAGAGGATAAAGATTGCTGAAGGGCCACATAGTTTTAGTTTTGGGGACAGAGTGAGGTGAGATGGTCAACTGGCTCTGAGCAGAGCTGGCTGCTGGACTGCATCTGGCTCAGCTGATAGATCTGGATCTAGATGCATCTATCTCTATATTATATTGATGATTCATTAAGGTGGGACATGGTCTCTCCTTGATCACAGTTGATACAGGCTCTGCTCGGGGATGAGGGCTCCTGGGGGGCCAGGCCTAGTGCCCCTTTGGTACCTCTTGCTTGGGCCTGTTAGGACAAAGAGCATTGTATCTTTGGGAGCCCATGCTGAGGAGGCCAGCCTGGGTCCCTGAAGACAGCTGGGTAGGAGGGGCCATGCAGCTAGGGTCTGGTCCTCACTTAGGGCCCCGGGCCGGGTCCTGCCTCAGCTGCTGAGAAGGCTGCACTGGGCCTTAGGACTATTATACCCCGAGGATCCCAGACCCAGGACACTCAGAGACGGGGTGGGCAGGGAGAGCCAGGGGCATCCCAGGGGCCAAACCCAGGCCACATTTGGCTCATCTCTCCCTTCTGGCGGCAAGGATCAGAGACCTACTCAAGCAGGTGGAAGTCAGGGTGGGGGCAGCAGGGTGAGCGTGGCAGGGATGGGCACGAGGGTCCTACTGCAACCATAGTGTTGACACCAAGAACTACAACTTCTGTTACCTCCGGACCTTTTCTTTCCTGCACGGCCTGATATTTTGGTCCCAGCTTCCTTCAGATCACTCTGACCCCTAGGTATGACCAGGAGGGGCACACTTTGTTTTACAGAGCCAGGCCATTTCCCAGGCATCTGGTTCCCCAGAACCAGATGTTCTGGAATTAGCTGCTTCCCCTTGTCCATTCAGCTGTGGATGGCAGGTCACAGTATATAAAGTGTAGCCTTGAGTGGGTGGGTGTCCTAAGGTTTGCATGGCCTTGGCTGGCAATCAGAGATGGCTTCCTGGAGGAGGCAGGGCTCCAGGATCAGGTTGGAGCATGGGTGAAGGTGGGAGAAGGGAAGGGAGAGCGGAGGGTGGGGCTGGTGAGAAGTGGGACCCTTCTCGGAGAGGGTCCAGAGGTGGGAGTAGCTAGCATGGGACCTGGGGCAGCAGGGACACCGGAGGAAGTGGCATCTCACCAGCTCTGCCCCCTAGGCCTACAGGATGACGAGGACCTACAGGCACTGCTAAAGGGCAGCCAGCTCCTGAAGGTGAAGTCCAACTCATGGCGGAGAGAGCGTTTCTACAAGTTGCAGGAAGACTGCAAGACCATCTGGCAGGAGTCCCGCAAGGTCATGCGGACCCCGGAGTCCCAGCTGTGTGAGTGTCCCAGGGCTGCAGGGTGGGAGCAGAGTGTGGATCCTATGCTTGCACGGGGAATCGGATGCTGGTTGGGGCGGGGAAGCGGATGCTGGTTGGGGCAGGGAATGGTGGGGTGGGGAGGTCAATCCTGGACCACAAATAGGGAAACCCAGGCCTGGCCAAGTGGGGCCCAGGTCGGTCACACAATCAGGACCAGATACAGGGAAACTAAAGCTGGCAAGGGTGGGGGAGAAGAGTTAGTTAAATCACCGATAGGGCAATTGAGGCCTAGTCTGGGCCAGACAGGGCAGTCATGGAGGACCAGAGATGGACAGGCTAAAGCCTTTTGAGGGTAAGGATACATAACTGTGACCACAGGTGGGAAAGCCAGGCTCAGAAATAGGGAGGTTTCTGGGCAGTGTTGTCTGAACGCACAGGGTGTCCACCTAGACAGATGTGGGAAGGAGGGAAGTTGGGCGGATTAGGACTACAGGTGTAGTGAGGCCAAAAGCCAAGCCCAAAGTCCAGGGGCAGATAAGGCCCTTCCTGGTATCAGCGGCCAGGATATGAGGTGGGGCCGCAGCAGGCAGTTCCTTCCCGGGACTGGGGCCACAGCAGAGAGGTAGGGTGGAGTGGAGCGAGGCCTTATTAGCTGGGCAGCTCCCTTGAGGGTATTGGGTCTGAGGATTTTCTGGAAGCTTTGGAAAAGGCCCTGGAACCCAAGGCTCAGGCCTGCAAATGGAGAGTGCCTGCAGCAAGGCCCCACAGAGAAAGCTGTGCAGGTTAGCTGCTTTGTAACACAGAATGGCCTAAAGATTCTGTAAAATGAGAGGTCCCCGCTGCATCTTTACTTGGTGGGAAACTTTTAGACCAATGCTGCCCAAAAGAACTTTCTTTGATAACGGAAATGTTCTGTATCTGTGCTGTCCAGTATGGGTGCCTCTAGCTACCTGTGGCCTTTGAGCACTTGAAATGTGGCTAGGTGTGACTGAGGAACTGAATTCTTAATTTTACTGAATTTTAGCTACTTTATATTTAAATAGCCACACACAGCGGCTGCTGGATCTCACCCAACCCAGACCCCTGTCCTTGGCCGTGGTGGGGAAGGGGGAAGGAGCAGGGGCAGCCCACTGGGGAGTGAGTGCAGTCAGACACAGGTGACAGGCTCCAGATGGGAGAGGGGACAGGAGGAAGGGGAGGTGCCCAGGCAAGGTTTACCGGGCCTCACGACACTGGGTAGAAACCTGAGAAAGTATCTCCTGCTGGCTGTATGGCCTGGAGCAGGGTCAGAGGTGAGTCAGGACACAAGCAGGGTCAGAGCAGGGTCAGGCGGGGAGAGCCAGGCAGGGGCCCTTGGGGCTGTGGGCCATGGAAGGTTTCTGAGCAAGGCAGGGTAGGGTTAAAGCCGACAGAACCTGAAGTACTCTCCGAAAACCACCCGAGTGCATGTCAGTCACACAGCATGGGAGTGACCCAGACCTCGTCTCTGTCTGGCCTCTGTCTGTCGGTGGCACCAGCCAGGCTCCTTCATGGGCCTCAGCCCTGATATGGGGCTTCCTGTTCGACGCTGGTGGGGGGCGGCACAGTGGGAACTGGCGTCTTGCTCTCTGAGCTCTGGGGATTCCTGAGAGCCCGTACATATGCCTGGTTTCCCGTGTGTGCCTGGCACTTACTGGGCGGCAGCGGCATGGGGGCAGAGACAAGAGTAGGGGACCTGGGCTGGTGAGATGAGCCCCTCATACTGGGAGAGCTGTGAGCACAAGGGCAGGAGGAGCCTTCCAGGCAGGAGACTAGTGTGAGCAAAGGTGCAGGGCCGAGACTGAGGAAGGGGCGTGAGTGAGGGGCTGCAGGGGTGACAGGTGCGGGGTCAGGCACCAGCTGTGCTCAGGTGAGGAATGTGGCCAGAAGAGGCTCTCTTCCAGGTCAGAGACACTGAGACGGCTCTCCGGCTGAGCATGCCTGTTGGCTGCTTCCCTTCTCCGGGGGAGCAGTGAGACTGTTGTCCCCAAATGCACTCTACCCTCGGGGAAACTGAGGCCAGGTGAGGGAGGAGGGGAGCAGCGCCCCCAGTTCTCTCTGCTCCCTCAGTTTGCCCTGATCCTGCCACCGCTACGCTCCCTCCACTCTGGCCCCCAGAGGCAGATGAGGTATTATCAGCAGTGCAGGCATCTGGACTTTCTCTCTGGTGCGGGTGGGGGTGCTGGCCCAGGAGCTGCCCGGCTCAGGTTTCCTGTTTTCACTCCCAGCCCGGGGCAGCGGCAGCTGGCCTGAGCCTAGCGGGCGCAGGAGGCTATGGACAGAGGGATTAAGCGGGGCTATCCCCTGCACCCCAGATGGCCCGGGGCTCACAAGTCCCACTCTCGGAGCCTGCTGCCCAGGCTGGGTACGTGTCCCTCACGTGGGGCTTGCAGGTGGCTCGGAGGCCTCTGGGCACTCAGGGTGCAGGCAGGCATGGGGAGGACAGGTGAGCTTGCAGCTGGGGCTGCTCTAGGACCCAGGACAGAGGGATGTGGAGGGCTCAGGACACAGGTGGGGCAGGGGTGGAGCCTGGACCTTGATGCTGGGCAGCTTAGCATGAGCCCAGCTGGTGGGACTGGCTCCCAGCCAGGCCAGGAAGGCACCCTAGGGTCTTGCTGCTCCCTGAAGCTTGGAAGGTGTGGGTGTGACAGGAGGGCTCTCCGCCCAGTTCCTAAGGGCAGAATGATGGACTCTCTCAGACCCCTAAGGGGCACCACTTGGGGTCCTAGAGGGCAAGAGCCTTCCCGCACTCTTCTTGCCAAGCGGATCCCTGAGGTCAGGACACACGTGGACACACATGGACACACGCAGGGCAAGGTTGTGTCCATGCCGCAGCACAAGCACTTCTCCCTGTGCCCCCGCACCCCGGGGCCAGGGCTGCCGGAGGGTGGCTCCGGGCTCCTGCATGGTCGGGAGAGGGGCCTGCAGGCTCTCAGAGCCATCTGAGGGGAGGGTGGTCCAAACTCAAGTGCGATTAGGAGGGTATGTATCCTGTCTGTCACAGGCTCCAAGCTCCAGAATGGTCTCTCCCCATCTCTAAAAGCCCTGCCCTGCCCTAGTCCCTCCCAGCCTGGAAACAGCAGGGCCTGGGGTCCCAGGTGCCCTTCTCTAGGGTCAGTCTCTCCCTCTGTCCACCCCCCCACCCCCCGGTGTTTCCCCTGCCCACCACAGCTGTGTGTCACATTCCTTCTCCATCTCGGTCTCTGTTTTCCTTCCTCCCTTGTGTTCCCTTTGTCCATCCTGCTGCCCCCCTCCTTGTCTCTGGATCCAGCCCTGAGCTCCAGCCCTGGCTCTGTGTCCCCACGCTGTGCCTTGGCCACACCGGGGGCAGGGACTGGCCTCGAAGCTCTGCCACCTATCCCCTTCTTGCAGTCTCCATTGAGGACATTCAGGAGGTGCGGAAGGGGCACCGCACGGAGGGCATGGAGAAGTTTGCCCGGGATGTGCCCGAGGACCGCTGCTTCTCCATTGTCTTCAAGGACCAGCGCAACACACTAGACCTCATAGCGCCGTCGCCGGCCGAGGCCCAGCACTGGGTGCAGGGTCTGCGCAAGATCATCCACCACTCGGGCTCCATGGACCAGAGGCAGAAGCTGCAGCAGTATCCTTCTGGTGGCAGTGGGTTCTGGCCCAGCCTGTGGATCCTGGCTGTGGTCATCACCAGGGCAGCCTGCGTGTGGAAGATACCCAGCTTGGGCCGTCATATGGACATAGCAGAGGCTGGGCAGCTCACACAACGGAAATGAATCTCACGGTTCTGGAGGCTGGAGACCCGAGGTCTGGGGGCCAGCGTGGTCGGGTTCTGGTGAGAGCTTTCTTCCTCGCTTGTGAGGGGCTGCCTGCTCACTGTGTCCTCACATGGCAGAGAGAGAGAGAGAGAGGAGGGAGACAAGCTCTCCGGTGTCTCCTCTTATAAGGGCACTAATTCTATCATGAAGGCTCCATCTCATGATCTCATGTAAGCCGCCCACGACTCATCCCCAGATGCCATCATATTGGGGGTTAGGGCTTCCACATATTGATTTGGGGGGAACACAGTTTAGTCCTGAGCCCTGAGAAGGTACCTGGAGCCCTGTTTGGTCTACTCAGTGCAGCCCCCGCTGTCTCCTCTTCTCCCCCCCAGAACCAGCACAGAGTTCTGCTAATGGCAGCAGCTTCCATGCGAGACCGAGTCTTGAGTGTTTGAACCATGTTTCTTGGAGTTACTACATTTTTTTCTCTCTGGGAATTTGGAAGGCCATGGTACCCCCTGTGCCATTCTTTGGGGAGTGATCAAGTTTCCCTGGGCCTCGTGTGCAGGCCAGCCTGTAAGCTTAAAACAAATTCACTTCCAAATCTGGATGCACAACAGCACACTAGCCTATGGTTCAAAGTGGTCAGCCTTCTGGTACAGAGGACTAGGGTGGAACCAGCTCCAGCTCCTTTATTTTAATGACAGTTTTATTGACATATAATTCACATACCATGTGATTCACCTGCTTAAAGTTACACGTCAATGCTGTTCAGTATATTCACAGGGTTATAAGTAATTTTACCACACTTTCATCACCTTAAAAAGAACCCCATACCCTTGAGCAGCCAGGCCCCATTTCCCCATAACCCTCCAGGCCCTAGACAACCACTGATCTACTTTTTTTGGCTCTTTATGTTTGCCTTTTTCTGGACATCTCCTATAAATGGAATCATACTGTCTTTTGTGACTGGCTTCTTTCACAGAGCATGTTTTTCAGGTGTCTCCATGTTGTAGTGTGAATTAGTACCTCATCCTTTCTTATGGCTGAGTAATATTCCATGGTCTCCTTATTCCACATTTTATTTATCCAGCTAGCAGTTGATGGACAGTGGGGTTTTTACTCTGGAGCTTTTATGAATTAATGCTGTTATGAACATTGGTGTGGTATATAGCTAGGATTTATAAGTCTTATGGTAACTGTATGTTTAACCTTTTGAAGGACTTCCAGTTTTCCAAGGAGGAAATTGACATTCCCACCAGAAGTGTATGAGGGTTCCAATGTGTCACATCTTCACTAAGGCTTGTTAGTACGGTTACTACTTTTTTATCCTAGCCATCCTTGTGGGTGTGAAGTGGTATCTCATTGTGGTCTCGATTTGCATTTCCTTGATAGCTAATGATGTCAACTATCTTTATATGTGTTTATTGGTTATTTCTAGAAATATCTATCGGATCCTTTGAGGAAATATCTGTCAGATCCTTTGCCCATTTTTTGTTGTTGTTCTTTTTTTTTTTTTTAAGATTTTATTTTTAAGTAATCTCTACAGCCAACATGGGGCTTGAACTTACAACCCTGTGATCAAGAGTTGCATGCTCGGGGGCACCTGGATGCTCATTCAGTTAAGTGTCCGACTCTTGGTTTCAGGTCAGGTCATGATCTCAGGGTCGTGAGATCAAGCCCCGAGTCAGGCTCTGTGCTCAGCTGGGAATCTGCTGGAGATTTCCTCCCTCTTCCTCTCTCTCTGCCCCTCCCCCTGCTCATGCAAGCTCTTTCTCTCTCTCTAAAATAAATAAATTAAAAATCTTAAAAAAAAAAAGAGTTGCACACTGTACCCACTGAGCCAGCCAGGCGCCCGTTAAGCTCTTTTTAAAATGGATTTATTTTTTAAAAATTTTTACTTGTGGTAAAATCTACATAACATAAAATTTACCATCTTTCAACCATTTTAGTCATGTGGAGTACCTTCACATTGTTGTGCAACCCATCTCCAGAACTCTTTTCATCTTGTAAAACTGAAATTCTTTCCCCATTAAACAACAACTTCTCATTCTCCCACCTCCAATCCCCACTCCCCAGCCCCGGCCCCCCGGCAGTCACCATTCTACTCTCTGTCTCTCTGAATTTGAACACCCTAGCTACCTCAGACAAGTAGAACCATAGAGTATTTGTCTTTTTGCAGCTGGCTTATTTCACTTAGCATAATGTCCTCAAGATTCATCCATGTGGTAGCCGGTGTCCGAATTTCCATTCTTTTTAAGACCGAATAATAATATTCCACTGTCTGCATATACTATATATTGTTTCTTCATTCATCCATTGATGGGCACCTGGGTTGCTTCCATCTTTTTCCTGTTGTGAATCATGCTGCTGTGAACATGGCTGTGCAAATATCTGAGACTCTGCTTTCAGTTCTTTTGGGGTATATACCCAGAAGCAGAGTCACCGGATCACAGGATAATTCTACTTTCAATTTTTTGAGGCACCACCATATTGTTTTCCACAGCATCTGACCTACTTTATACACCCATCGACAGTGCACCAGGGTTCCGATTTCTTCAAGTCCTCAACACACTTGTTATTTTCTGGGTTTTTTGTTTTGGTTTGGTTTACGTTTTGATAGGTGTCTTATCGTGGTCTTGATTTGCATTTCCCTAATGATTAATGCAGTTGAGCATTGTTTTTTTTATTTGCTTTCCTGTATCTTCTCTGGAGAAATGTCTATTCACATCCCTGGCGGTTTGTAATTGGGCTATTTGTCTTTTTATTATTGAGTTGTAAGGGTTGCGTAATATACTAGATATAAGTCCCATCATAATTACGCTTTGTAAATAATTTCTCCTCTTCTGTAGGTTCTCTTCTTTTTCTTGATGGTATTTGAAACGTGAGTTTTTAGTTTTGGTAAAGTCTAATTCAACTACTTTTTGCTTTTGTGGCTTGTGATTTTTGATGTTATATCTAAGAAGGCTTTGCTTAACCCAAAGTCACTGTTTACTCTTATTATTTTCTTCTAAAGGTTTTGTAGTTTTAGTTATTAAATTTAGGTCTTTGCTTCATTTTGAATCCGTTTTTGTGTGTGGTGTGATGTGGGGGATCCAACCTCATTTTTTTAGCATGTAGGTAGTTGTCCCAGCACCATTTGTTGAAAAGACTGTTCTTTCCTCATTGAATTGTCTTTACACCCTCGTCAAAAATCAATTGACCATAAATAGGAGGGTTTCTTTTCTTAAAGATTTTATTTATTTATTTGAGAGAGAGCGAAGTGAGATAGAGAGAGGACAGAAGGAGAGGGAGAGGGCGCCTGGGTGGCTCAGTCGTTGAGCGTCTGCCTTCGGCTCAGGTCATGGTCCCAGGGTCCTGGGATCGAGCCCCGCATCGGGCTCCCTGCTCTGCGG